ATTTTGATTAATAGGTAATATTTCTAACATTGTATTCGAAGGGGTACATAACAAAACCTTTATCAATAATTTTTTCTTATCTTTAATAATATGGCTGAAAAAAATTCATGCTTGAAAATTTCTCAAATCTCGAATTGGTACAACACCTAAAGGATTATCCTGAAAAATATTTAATATAATAAATATCAGAAGCGTAGCATATATGTATCTATAGACTCTAGATATGCTTGAAGTCATTTGAATTTGGTAAAACAGAAATAAAGTAAAATAAATTAAGTAATGGGTTAAATATGTTTATATCTGTTAAATTATTAGTATACTATCTCATAATTTGGCCAACCAAATATAAATTATGCAATAAGCTTTAACTATTTTTTTACTAATAGATAAACTGAAATATCATGTTATCATCAGTTATTATCTCCTAATTAAAAACAAAATTTCTTATAATTATTCAAAACTATATTTATGAAAAAAAATATATTTTTTCAACAACATAAATATTAATGCTGTCTCCATTATTCTGAACTAGAGAAGAAGTTTTGCTATTAATTATAGACAAAGAAAAATAACCTTTTAGTTTTATTGAAAAGCAAGGAAAAATACCCGTACGTAGTACGGGTTGAACATACTAGTTATATATATAGATGAGAAGTCATGACTCACTTCATATGTGATATTTTTAGTTTGGACCATCCTTAGAAATTTTATATAAATTTACATAACATCATTATAATATCTTTAATTTTTATTTGAAATACAAATAAACAATTTTAAGAAAATTCTAACAAAATCTTTTAAAATCTTATAGAATCTTTTCAAGATATAGTTTCAGAAATTATTTGATTAAAAATTTAATTATTATAGAATATAATTAAAATTTAAATCGTTTTTAACAAAAAGTTAAAATTATGTAATATAATTTTAACAATATCCCAAAATTTTGTTTCTGTATTATGTAGGTCCAATTTAATTTAATTTTTTATATATTTAACATTTAAAAATAAAAAAAAATATATAAATTAGTAATGTTACATAATAATGTTTTTAAAAATTGTTACAAAAATACAAATTTATAAATTTTAAATTAATAATATTATAAGCTACATAAATATTATTATAAAATTGGATAGTATATACAATCAAATTATATTTATTTATTGATAAATTTTACTCCCTCTGTTACTTAATATATGATGTTTTGGATCATAGCACAAAAATTAAGAAATTTACATTCTTTTACAAAAGTATTTTTAAAGATATAGTTTTATAATCATTCAACAAATTATTAAAAAAGTAAAATTTTATCGATTGAACAGTTTCTAATAAAGTTAAAGATAAATTTAAAACCTCAAAATATACCTTAAAATCTTAAAACATCTTATATTTTGAAATAAAATAAATCTTATAAAACATTATCTATTTAAAACGGAGTGATTATTATATAATTTCAAATATTATCGTATTAAAATACCCGCACGGTTGTGCGGGTCGAGATCTAGTTTTTAATTAAATCTAGTCACTTCATTTATTATATTTTCTAAATAATTACTTTATTTATTGTTTTCTATTTAAATAATCACTTTAATTATTGTAATCACTTCATTTATTGTCTTACTTGAATATGGAATACGAATAGATTCGATTTTGATGTGCGGAAATTTTAAAAATTCCTAGAACCTAATGTGTCTGGAACATGTTAGGCTATTTGTACCAAAAAAAATCTATTAACCGATTGGATTCATGTATTTAAATCCAAATTAAAGATAACTAAATAACCAAAAGTCACCATAATATGCGATTTGGTTCCGGTTCAATTCTGATGTAGGACTTAGAAATATTCCATTAATTATATGATAACACATATAAAATATGTAACTTAAATTATGAAAAACAAAATATTAATTTATAAAAATATAAATTTAACAACCGCATGGACGTCCGGATAAATCTCTAGTCTATACTATTATTTGCGAAGTGATCTTTCGCAACAGAGCTCCCACGTTAAAAATTGGAGTGGTTAATATTGTTTATACCCTTAATGAATAAAATATATAAATCATCCAAAATAAAAAAAGAATTTATATTTATTTGATTAGATAAATGATTTAAATTAATTATAATGATAAGAATTTTCCATAATCTAAATATATATTTAAAAATAAAATAAAAAAGATAATTCATATATATATTGTGTTGTTATCAGAAAAATATATTTAATTAATATATAATCAACCATAAATTAGAAACAAATTTCACTGATTTGATGACTATTATTATCTAAAAATAATTGATATTAATAAACCATAAACTAAAACTGAATTAATATAACATTAAATTAATTATATTTAAAAAGTGAATTTGTTGATTTATCATATTCTCCATAATTTTATGTAATTATACTTATTTATCATGTTTTATGATTTTGACTAATGATTAATTATTACCCTTAATTAATGACTAAATAAGATTATTATTATATAATTATGAACCGTATATTAATTAGATTTACTACCCTTAATGACAATGCAAACATAAACTTAATGACTAATTGGATTTATTACTATATAATGACTAATTAGATCTATTACTATATAATAATTAGAAACAAATCTTATTTTTCATGTTTATTATGAATTGAAGATTATCATTATCTAGACTAATGATTATAATAAATCTAATTATTCATTATATAGTAATAAATCTAATTAGTCATTAAGTTTATGTTTGCTTCGCCATTAAGGATAGTAAGTCTAATTGTCATGTTCTTATGATTTTTTACTACCCTTAATGACAAAATAAACATAAACTTAATGACTAATTAGATTTATTACTATATAATGACTAATAGTTATTACTATTTGACCCAAAAAAAAATTTTATTACTATATAATAATTAAAAATTTCAATATATAATTAAACATAGGGAAAAATGAATTTCAATGATTTTAGATTTATCTTTATCTAAAACTATTTTATATTGGGTTATAAAATATTTATTAACCTTGAAATATATTTATATTTTTAGTAATATATCATTAGTTATAAATTAAAAACGAATTTCATTTATTTGATAATCTTCTTTATTTATTTTTTTATATTATGTCTTTATCAACATTAAAAAATAATTATATTTGTTAATATATAATTAATTCTAAATTTAAAACGAATTTCATGAATTTGATAATTATCATTATCTAATTTTTTATATTGTGTTATACGTCTTTATTAACCTTGAAAAATAATTATATTTGTTAATATATATTTAATTATGAAAAAATTAATTCGCAAAGAATTTATGTATAGATAGTTAATATTACTAAAGATAATTTTATTATACTTTTTGTTATGTCTAAAATGATATTAATTTATTACTAAATATTTTAAATTTATGATATTTTCACATTTAATTTGTGTAATGATAATTATTTATATGATGATGAAAAAATTTATATATAGAATTTTTTTTAGATTATTATTAAATATTTTGAGTGTATGAACAATAATTTATTATAATTTACTTAAATTGATTATATTTGTTTATAGATATTAGAAAATTATTAATCTTGCAAGTGCGGGCAAAACACATAGTTAATAATTAAATGGATATCTTTTATCTGGCAAAATTATCCATTTAATTAAATGGATATCTTTTATGAAAATATCCTTTACATTTAATTCTTCACCAGTTTTGAAAATTAAAAAATAAAGAAAGGGAAAATTGACAAAATAACCCTCAACTTTCAAAAATAAGCAAAAATTAAACTCCAACTCACAAACAAGCCATTTTAATCTTCAACTTCTAGTCAAACACGAATAAATCTCATACTTTCGTTGACCAAGCTATTTTGATCTCGTCAAAATTCAACCGTTTAGTTCCGTTACTTATATTTAACTATTGACTTTTAATGAGCCTAAAATGGCTTGGTCAACGAAAATATAAGATTTTTTTTTTATTTTAATTTAAAAGTTGAAGATTAAAATTGTACACTTATCTTAACTTAAAAATTGCTATTTTTGTTTATTTTTTTCAACAAAAATTGTAGTTTATAATATCAATTAGAATGACAAACTTAATAAAATATGTTCATATAAGCTTGGTTATAATATTTCTAAATGAATTAAAAACAAAAAAAATTTGTTTAGTAAAAAAATTTGATTAAAAATATAATTATACTGTAAATCCATATATAAAATAAAATAATTAAGTACTTATGTTCAAAAAAAATTAAGAATAAAAACATAGAAGTTAAAGGTAAAACCCTAAACACATTATTGTTAAAAGTATAATCGCATATACTCAATAGAAGATGAAACAAGTGAAATTGAGGAACTCAAGTGCGTGAAAGGGATTTCCAGCAGTTGATGTATATAATTTTTTTAATTCATTTTTATCTAAACTTATTTGAATATATATTATTAAGTTAGTGATTACAATCGATATAAAAAATTATATTTTTTATGCCAGTTAAAAAATAAATTTTAGTTAAGATATTTTCAAATAAGCAATTTTAATCTTCAATTTTTAATTGAAGTTCAAAAAAATCTCATACTTTTGTTGACCAAGCCATTTTAGGCTCATTAAAAGTCAACCGTTAAATATAACTAACGGAACTAAACGGTTGAATTTTGACGAGATTAAAATGACTTGGTCAACGAAAGTATGAGATTTATTCGTGTTTGACTAGAAGTTGAAGATTAAAATGGCTTGTTTGTGAGTTGGAGATTTTTTGGCTTATTTTCGAAAGTTGAGGGTTATTTTGTCAATTTTCCCAATAAAGAAATAAATAATATCAGATTTTGTGAAGAACATAGCACAGATCCAACCCTTAATTTACTTAAGATCCAGCGGCTGAAAGTTAATTTATATCTGTTTTTTGGAGAACATGTCACATATTTAACCGTTAAGTAGCCTCTCTCTCTCATCTGCACCTCTCCATAGTTCTAACTCTATCTTACATTTTTTCGTTCTAACTGAATCCAAATATCCATTCAAAATCATGACCAAAGGACGCAACAGTATGATCGCTATCCCTTGCTTGAAATTAAAATTGTTTAGTACTCAAATTTTTAATTTTCTCTGTTGTAGTTAGTTAATGGTTAGTTGATCTATAAGAAATGATTTTTGTACCTATGTTTTTGTTTTGTAATTTTTTTATGTGTGCTGTCTTTGTTAAACCTTGTCAGTGACTAAAACATGGGTTTGCTGGAACATAGTGGACTATCCCATCCCCGAGGGTCTTAATCCTACTGCGGTTTTTAAGAATACCAAATCTGCTCTTGAAAATCAGGGATATTATGGTGACTTGTTTTTCACAGTTTATTGTGATGATAAGAACTGGCATGAATTGTATCCTCACTATTCTCGTGACGAAGTCGGTTTACAAATCGTACGTGACTCCCTTGCGGTAGTTGATAATATGTTAGTGGACATTCTTTTATGGGGAGTCGAAAATCCGATACCATCAAATTTTGTGTTAATCACAAACAATGTTTCAAAAGAAACAGAGCTCTTTGGTGTTCTTGAAGATTTGAAATCAGAAAATTACAATATTCTTGTTGCACAGTTTGAGGAAGACGCATCATCAGGCTTTGTACGGATTTTCACAAGCGTGTTTGATGGAGGAAACCCTAGCGACCAAAAAGAAAACTCACAGGGTGTTACTAATAAGGATTTTAACCGAGAGGCTAAAATAGGCGTTTTCTGGAACATGGAGGATTGCCCAATCCCCAAGAGTCTTGATCCTGACAAGATTTATCAGAATGTCAAACCAGCTCTTGCAAATCAGGGTTGTCATGGCGAGGTACCAATATGGGCTTATTGTGAGAAGATCAACAACTTGTCCCTTGCTGATGTCACCTTGGTACCCGTAGGTGGGTTTCCTCTTTAACATTTGTATTTTATTTTAGTTATGTTAATATAAACATATATGTGGTTTCAGGAGATAAATCTGCGAGATTTAAGAAAATGCTTAAGGACATTTTGTTTTGGGCGCGGCAAAACCGTGGGAGCTATCCTAGTATAATTCCCGATTTGATGGTGATCTCAAATATCACTGGAAACACGGTGTTTGTCCGTGTTCTTAATTCTTTGAATAGTAAATACAATGTTCTATTAACATTGTCTGATGTGGGCAAATACATAAGTGATGTATGGCTTCATCCAAGCCTTATGCCTAATAAAAGCGAATACATAGGTGATGAATGGCCGGATCCAAGCCTTAAAGGTGAAGGAAACCCTATTGACCAAAGAGAAAGCTCAAATGGTAAGATCTCTATCTCTTGATTAAAATTGATTATTGCATTTTACTTGTTCTCTTTGAAGTGTTAGATATGACCATATTTACTTATTCCCTGTAGCATAGTTAGTTAATTGTTAGTTGATATTTAATCAATTGATTGTTTGCTCTATTGTTACTTCTGTAATTTGTTTATTGCTTTTGTATTTTTTTGAAACCTCACAGAGCCTAAAACATCGAGGACTGCCCAATCCCCAAAGGTGTTGAATTTAATACGGTGGATTATAATTTCAAATCAGCTATTAGGAATCAGGGTGATTATGGTGAAGTGTTAATCAAGGCTTATTGGGATGACACAACTGCTAATCTTGAGACAACGGGCCATAATATCCAATCAGTTGTTATTGGAAATCAAAGTGAAGATGGTGATAACGGTCAAGTGTCTTTAGTCGTGGCTTATTTTGAGAGCAAAACTGGATTATACCATTGTTATAACAGAGCCATGACCTTACAAAAGAGAGGTGAACTCCTTTATCGCCCTTTACACATTTTCTCTTTTTCATTGTCTACATATGTAACAAGCATGATTTGGTTGATATATAGTGCTAGAAGATGAAGATCCTTATGTGGAACTCGACACAATGTTTTTGGACATCCTATTATGGGCGATTGACAATCCTGCACCATCAAATTTGATGGTAATCTCAAAAAGCATCTCAAAAGAAACAGAGCTCTTAAGTCTTCTTCAACATTTGGATTCAAGAGGCTACAATATTCTCGTTGCACATGCGGAAGAAGCCGCATCAACAGTGGTACCTTTTTCTGTAAGCTTCGAATGGGTTTTGAAAGTCCTATTTAGTGAAGGTAATCCTCTCACCAGTGCTACCTTCTTCCAAGGTGAAAGCTCACAAGGTGTCCACAATGAGCAGATGGAATCCTCTTTAAAGAGGAAAAAATGGAATGGTAGTCAATTTAATTGATTTTTCATATATAATTATTTATTTTAATCGTTTATTAATCTAACTGAACATTTTTTCCGTTCTCTTATTTTTTTTGTGAAACTTTACAGAGGCTAATACAGCCGTCTTTTGGAACATCGAGGACTGCCCAATGCCTGGTGGTATCGATACTCATATGTTTCTTCAGAATATCAAATCAGTTCTTACGAATCACAGTAGTCATGGTAACGTGTCAATCACAGCTTATTATGATAATAATAGAAGCCTTGATGACTTCTCCCTCAGTGATAATATCACCTTGGTGCACACAGGTGAAGATTGCTTGTGTTCTTAATTAACACTGTTTTCTCCTTTTTCTTTTCTTATATGTATGTGATCTAAATATATTTATATATATATATATATATATGGTTTCAGGAGATAAATATGCGAGAATTAAGAAAATGTTAAAAGACATTCTTTTCTGGGCATTGGAAAGTCCTAAAACATCAAGTATGTTGGTGATCACAAGAAGCATTACAAATAAAGTTTGTGATGTTCTTATTGCTTTGAGTTCGAGAGATTACAATTTTCTCTTCGCAGACCCTTTTATGGTCTCATATGTAAACAATGTATGGCTTTTGACAAGCCTATTTGGTGGAGAAAACCCTATAGACCTATGCATTGAAAGGAATTTTCGAAAGCAGATTGGTGCGCTTGATTCTGAGGACTGACTTCTCTACGTAATGGAAAGCCACAACTACCAGCAGGGGAGACTGTACAAGGAGCTGATGTATAGTTCGACCATAATGTTTTTTTTCATTATCTCTTTTACTTTTATTAGGATACAATGAATTATGGAAAAATAAGTTTAGTTTGTAAGACATTGATGTGCGTCATCTTATCAAAGACTATTCGACTTCGTATAAGGTTTGATTTTCATTTTAAAATATTTTATATACTAGTGGTTGCTCCAAGTTTTGTGCGGGAATTTTTTTTTCATTATGTTTGCGTTTAATATATATTTTTACTTTGAAGATTTTGACTATAGATTATGTGTTACGTTATTTTTATGGTTGGTCGTCATTATCTTTTACCATCCATTCTCGTTTAAATTGTTTGTTGTATAGATCTGAAGGATATTACGTTATGTTTGAATTGGATTATGTTATGTTTTTAATTTTTTCAATGTAGATCTTTTAATTTGTTTGTTTTTTTATCATATTAAGTCATATTGTTTTCACCAAATTTAAGCACAAAAAAAAAAGTCATATTGTTTTAGGATGTTTTCTCGTTTGTACTATGCAAATACTGTATGTACTTTTTATTTCCATATCATTATCGACATTGTGGCTGAACTTTTATTCCAATATGTAACTTTAAAAAAACAATCACATTTATTTAGATAAAATAACTTTTGATTTATTTTTATATCATGACGTTTGGTCTTTGTGACTCTAGTTCATTTCTATGTAATTAAGTGAAGATTGTATGAATTTTAGTCATTTTATGAATCTATGAGGGTTTCTATAATGTGAAAAAAACTTGCAAATCGTTTTCAACCTCAGCTGCTTTATTTACATTTTTCCAGAAACTCTAAAATTACTTTATCATGTAGAAACCCACAATGAGAAACAAATCCTGCGGTGATGGTCGGAAGGTTAGATGTTCTTTTTCCACATTCTGTTTCTATTTATTTAGATAAGATGAAATTATTTTCAAAAGTAGTGCGTTTCTAGCTCTAAATCCATGTGTACAAATATTTAAAAATTAGATTAGTCGATTTTCCTCTTAGATCAATAGATTCTGGATCTAGAAATTGTTTTCTCAGTCTCTACTTTGATAATGAAGATTGTATATTTTACTTGTTTTTTTAGGTCTGGCTTGTTCTTTTCCAAACGATGTTAAACTGATCGTTCGTGGTATTTACTATTTGACTAAGATTTGATTTGATCACTGAGTTTCATGTCTCTGATATTCGTTTTGTTTGATAACGGCAAATATCGTTTCTTATATAAACAAACCAAAACAATCAGCTAATCCAACCTCACCATACCAACCAATCATCTGAACCAACATGCTAATCGGCCAAACCAACCCAATCCGGCGGTGATGGGTTGGAAGGTAAGATGTTTATCTTCCAAAAGCTATTTCTACTTGTTTAGATAATATAAAACTTTTGATACTGTGTGTTTCGACTTTCGAATTCTAAGTCCATGTGTTAGAACTAAAACCAAACCAAAACTTCTATGTTCATATCCCGGCCACTAAAAATAAAAAAGATATTTGTTCATCTGTATTTTTTTTTATCTTTAAATTGGCCTATAAAACTGATGATTAGGATCAGTGCATGTTAGTCATGTTCTTGTTTAACGGATAAATAAAGTTTGGTAATTGTTTTGTTGCTTCTCATAAAATCCAATAGAAAAAAAGTAAATCATCCGTTTATGGAAAATAACATGCTTTCGATTTTATCATAAAAAGATACTCTAAGCAGTAGCTCCAATGGGAACATTCTTGAGTCTTGATGTTCCGTACATGGTTTCTTCGAAGCGGATGATCTCGTTCTTTGAGCCATAAGCAACTTGAGTTCTGTCGTCGAGGTTGACGATGGTCTTGTCGAGCACAGACTTGTATCCATCGCTACTGAACCCACCAGCATTCTCAATGAGCAGACCAAGAGGAGCCACTTCGAACAATAGTCTCAACTTTGCCTTAGCCGTAGGAGAAGTCACGTTCGTGAAGACTCCTTTCTCCTTCACAATAATCTGCATGCCACGCACGAAAAATAAGTGTTCAAATAAAGTTTCATTCACAAGTAGAAATTTGGAATAAAATAGTTGGATCTAAGATTTAAGGAGTCATTAACATTTTTGAGTTAATTATGACAGAATTTTTTTTCCACAGTTCAGCAAATGTTTCATAGACTATGCCTAGAACTAGCCTTAAGAACAAACCTGGTTAACGTCAGGAACCATTCCTCCTGTGTATCGAAGTGTGTACTTCTCTTTCACGTAGTAATCAATCAGCTGATTTTCACATTCAATAAGAAAAACATTCAGATATTTGTATAGATTGGTGATTAGATTAAATAAGAATAAAAGCAAGAACCTTGCTGTACTCAGAATTGTCAAACGTGGCTCTCAAGTTTCCTGGTGAGAACATTTTCCCTTCATTGATCTCTGTTGTCTCCTTAACATGCTGCCATTTCCCTGAGAAACAATTTTGAGCTTAAGTCTAAACCTACCAAAGAGTTAATCTTGATTAGACCAAAAGCAGAGAAGTACCTTCATCAAGAAGCAAGAACTCATGAGTTCCTGGAAACCCTTTAACAGCCAAAACATAAGTGGTTCTTGGACCATAAATTCCCATAGCTGCAGCCACTTGATCTCCTCCCGTGACTCCGGTTAACTTATCACCAGGCCAAACGCCAAATATGGTTCCCACAGTGAAGTTTGTATCCACAATGCTTGATCCATCCAATGGATCAAACGCTACACTAAACCCACCTTCCACTGGACCTCCCATGTCTTGAAGCTCAGGTACTTCTTCAGAACATGCGTACTTACACACATGCGAGTATTGCAAAGCCTAGAAAAAACAAAGAAGTATACAAATCAAAACCCTAATGAACCTTGTGAAATAAGTTACTGAAAATGCGATGAAAACCTCAAAGAGAAGCTTATCGGCGAGCATATCGACAGCGAGTTGTTCATCACCAAAGGAGTTAACACAAGCTGTTCCACCACAAGAGGCTGTCCTAACTTTGAAAGCTATTGTTCTCAACGCTTCTCCCATACACATCAGCAAAGTTCTCAACCCTTTGTCAGGTGTTGCTTGTGTCAAAAATTCTTCCTATACAATCAAACTCAATAACTAAATCATTAACACGGAATTTGAATAGTAATTTGACTCATCTTGTTACTCTAGACTTACCAAGCTTTGACCAATCTCACATTTGGTCACAGTTGAAGCACCATTGTTCTTAGCCTTTGTGGCTTTCAATTGCGATCTTGGTGCTAGTCTTAGTGAATCTCCAAAGATTGAGCTCGACTTCAAACGCTGCTTATATCAATTAGGAACACATTCGTTATAGTGAATCACACTTACTAGAAGTGAACAGATCTTCCTATGTACTCACACGTGTGCGCTTTGCATGTGTATGTGTGTGTGTGTGGAGGATACAACTAACCTTGAAGCTGGATGATGTGGAGAAGGAAGAAGGATGAGAAACCAATGTGGATGATCGTTGAGAAGAGACGCTAGGGAGGAGGATCCCACGTGAGTAGCATGTGACGCTGGTTTCCATTGCTTATGTTTCTGAATTTCTGAGAGTTGATCAAAGTAGAAAAAGAAGCAGAACTCTTTACAGAGGATAATGGTGGAGACAAAAGATCAAACTCAAGTGGTGTAGGAGAAAGATAAAGTGATCATTTATTGTGTGGTTATGGTCCTTTTAAATGTTTTTTACCATTTTGAGATGATATCATCATCTCTCCAATAGAAAAAGATGAATCATAAAGATCGGCAAGGACTAATTACGTGCTTGATTTCGGTTCGGTTATTAACCGTTACTTCAAAATTTATTTTGCTTTTTTTCTATTAAAAAAGTTAAAAAATATGTAAAACATTTATCAGAGCCAGGTTTCGATCCTGGGACCTGTGGGTTATGGGCCCACCACGCTTCCGCTGCGCCACTCTGATGTATTGATAGTGATTAGTATCTTTTTATAAATAACACATAGAACAATACCGTAGAAATTTTTGGGAACCAAGAGCTGTACAATGCCGTTTTTGTCAAGGCCTGTTTAAAATGTAACATCCTTTTAGTCCCAGCTTAAGTGGCCCAAAGTAAATTTCTTGTTCTCCAGGGATTAACGCACACCTAAAGGATCTAACCTATTTTTCTCCCTTCTATAGCTCGTCTCTTTCTTTCACATGTTCTCAGAGATACCTGAGATGCAATTTTTCAAATCCCTAATGACATCGAATATCATGTCTGCATTCAATTACAGTATATGAGACATACTGAAACTGATGTTTATCAAAAGAAAAGTCTCAGATTTTCTTATAGATACAAAATCATACATCAACAGAAGACTTTAGGAGACATCAATAGAAACAAAGAACATCAAAGGATAGATTAATACACACTCACACACAACACACAAAGACGCAAAGAATAAAACAAACTGAATCAGTTTGGCATTAACTTCAATTTAGACTAGAGAGAGGATAGGATTCTTTAAGTTTAAGATTCAGGAACAGTGGCTGCTGGTGTACCGGCAGCTACTGCGGCGGCTGCAGAGCGTTTGATGGAAGCAGATTTGATCAAGTGGTTGTAGCTTCCCTTTTCCTTGAAAAGCTGAGCGAAATGGTGCTTGCAGTACAAGATTCCTTCAAGAGCTGCGTAGTTTGAAGGCGAAATTGGGCAGCCTCCATGTGAGCACTTGAAGCAGGACTTGTGATATGTCTGGCTCTCTACTGTTACCTGCAGTTTTTTCAGAAAGGTGTTTGTGACCAACCATAGAGCTTTTTTCAAAGGGGTTTCATATTAAGTAATGATGTCAATATTTCACCAAGATGGAGAATTATGGTCTACTCAGATGGCACTCAGAGATCCAAGCATAGGAGGATCCTTTACAGCACAAACTTAAGTAACAAAGAATCTATATTTCCAGGGTCTATGCATCTGTTCAATAAACATTATGTTCCTTGAATCCTTGCAAGTATCTGATAACTAAAGGGATCTTGTTCTTAATCGTAACATGAAAGAGAAAGCAATAGGAAGATTCTTGCAAAAGATCAAACTATGTTTTAGTGTAATGTTTCCCAACATAGATGCATAGAGAAGGAAAAGGTGATGATTAACGTTAAGTTAGTGGAGAATGCAAGAATGAAGAGAGAGAGATATCAATATTAGATGGAAAGATTAACCTTTTCGATAGGGTACACAGTTTTGCTGCAAGTAGCACATTTTTCTTGTGTACCGGAGAACATGCCAGCAACTCGGCTGGGAGTTCTTGTCTGTGGACAAATGAATGAGGCGATATAAGAGATAAAATTCAATCTGAGTACATGTAGAAATGAGATAAAGAAGTATTTATACCAGCTCAGGGCTCGATTTCTCAGCTGGTTTTGCAGCTGTGAGGAAATAAAAAGTTCCAAGACAAGACACGTTAATAAGATAGCCACAGAAGAAAGGGGAAAGCTTAAAGATTAGATGGAAGGCAGAGCAGACTAGTACATACGTGACTGGAAGTTCTTGGTGAAGCTACCAGACTCCTTGAAGAGCTGCTCATAATGAGGCTTACAGTACACCACTCCTTCCATCGATGAATATCTGCTCAGCTGTATAAAAAAGACATTCACTGTATCAGGATTGATACAAAGGGTATTTTCAATTTGCAGCTTGTGACAAACAGAGACACAACAATACATGATTTAAGAAAGAAGATGGATCATTTGTAAAATCATTCTTGCAGCCAAAAGCAGTTACAAAAAGATACCTGAAGCCTGGATTTGCAGTGAGAGCATTTGAAGCAAGACTTGTGATAGCTAACGCCATCAGCTGAGAGAAGCTCCACAGGGTAGACTGTCTTCTCGCAAGCCTTGCACTTCTGTTGTGTTCCTGTGAAAGAAGACATCCTTAAACCCCTTTTGCCTTAAAACTTTCTCCTCACCTTCTTCTTATCCTTTAAAATTTTCAAAAATCAAGAAACAATGAGTTACAATAAAAGAAGAAACCGCATTGAGCAAACTCGTAAATTATCAAATATTTTAAAATGCTCAACAACAATCAATCCGTTGATCATTCAAAAAAAGGTTGTATCACTAATCAAATCTAAAGGACACAAATATACAGAGGAATGAAGGGATCTATTTACTTTGAGCTGAGATCGTCCAAGATCTGATCCTCCACGTACCAAACTGCAACATAAACACACACACACAAAAAAAAAAGAAGAAGGCGGAATTAACCAGACAAATACTTTGAGAGTTACCGAAAAAAATCAAAGGTTAGCAGAGAAGAGAGCTGTTACCAAAACAGAAATCTAGTGTGACGATCAAAGCGATGATGAATGATAAAAATGGGAGATGTGGTTAAATCTCCCTTTTTATGTTTTCCTTTCCTTTTTGCTCGAGGAGACAAAGACAGACAGTGGGGTTCCACTTTGGCTTGTCCTTTTTATTTTGTTAATAACAGCAAAATAATTGAAGGTTATTTACAATTTACAATTTTCTTTATTTTAAAACAACAATTATGATATCTTACTGTATCCTTTTACCAAATAAAGGGATTTAATTATCTGTTTAAAATCTTTCTTCTCCTTGAATAATGCTAAATAAAAATATCTAACACATCCACTCCATTGCTGTCAACACTAATTATAGATCCCTTTAAACAAATAGGATATGCGACGACTAGTAAGCTGTCTGCTGCCGAAGAAATGTTTTCTTTTTTGCATGTCATAATCAGTTGAATATACAACAGCAAAAACGAGGTTTACCTAAATATCACTAAAAATATTAAATGAGTAAATCAATGGAAAAACTGTAGAGAAAAGAAATTTTGGAACTCTTTTGTTTTGTAATTTCAACAAAATTAATGTTTTAACATCGACAGAGTCTATGAAAAAGAAAAGTTGAATATAGGATAAACTATTAGCTTCTGAGGAAATGATTATGGGTGGCTTCTTTCTGATAATTGTGATCTTGAATCTCTATCCTCCTACATCATTAGGAAATCAAATCAAGATACATGTTGACTCAGACAACATATCAAAACAATATCATGGAATGATAATACATTACAGAGTCGAATCTAAGGAATCTCAACTACAATATCCACCTTCCAATATATAAGTACTGTCTAGCATGATTAGAGACTAAAACAGGCTAATCTAATATAATCTAATCTCTTTGTGTAATAGGAAAGTATACTATCGAGTTATTGTCATATCATTAATCCTAACAAGAATGAGATGTGTGTTTATATTATTTACCTCTCTCATATGTTGCTTGGGTACATGAACACTCTAACTCTAGCTCCCTGAGAGTAACAAAACAAATGACTGAGTCACGGAACTAAGCATTTAAGAATACATTATGTTCCAAGGAAATGAAGCTACCATTGACTTTGGTGGTAGGTTTGAAGTGAACTTGGCACGGACAACACCACTGTTACCATGAGGCCTAGTGACTTTCCCCCAGATGCAACGGTAGTGAGAACCGTTCTTCTTTGTCTTCGCCTTGTAAATGTAAGCCATGCGCTTTCCCTTGTACCAAGTAACCTCCTCTGTAGTGTTCACTCCTTCAATCTGGACCAGAGATGTGTTTGGGTATTGGTTCGACTTCGACCTGAAAAAAAATTATACTTATTAGTTAGTAACCAAGCTTAAAATTCGCTACACAAGATTGTCTATCAAACAGTGCTTGGTCTGCAAGCAACTGCTGCATCATTTCAAGAACCCTAAATCAAGAACAATTTCACACGGACTTGAAAACATATGCGAGCAACAAGACTAAGACATACATAAATATATGATCATGTTATGCAAAAAAAGTACCTCTTGTAACCGAGGACTGTTCCACGAACATACAATCTGCAAAACAACAACAACAACACCACACAGGTTTCGTTAGATGAATAAAAGCCAATTTTTAAATTTGAATTGGAAGATTTAGAGCGAGATGTCTGTTCATGTTCGATAATTTACCTAACTCTCTCTCCTTGGCGTCCCTTCATTTTCAGTCCTGATACTGTATCTTCTTCTTCTTCTTCCGATTTGGCTCTTTTAAGCCGGCGAGTGAAGTACAGAGAAGAACCCTAGCTTTCGTATTAGGTTAAAACAAATATATATGTGGATTCATTTATAAGCCCGCTACGAAGCTCTATTAAGCCTATCTTTTGCTGTTTGGCCCAACATTGTCTCTTTTTTTATTACAGTTAGCAAAGTCATTTTGGGAACCATTTTTCAATTTTATGATTTTTTTTTGAATGACTTTTTGTTTTACAGTTTTTATTACAATATAAATAACTTCTTGTTGTTAAATTACTAAGGGGGGGGGGGGTTATTTGGGTAAGAATTCTAGAGGAATTATTAAATTTTGAGATTTCATTATCAAAATTGATGACTTTGTTATTTTATTTTTCTGTTTAGTTAGAACTATATAACACAATTTTTAAATTTCATCATTTCAAATTCTAATTACCAAAATTCAAGCTGAAAATAACAAAGTTGGTTTGCTAATTGAACCGATTGTCAAACCAAATCGAAAACCAGTTCATTAGTCTTTTTGTTTCATTTGTAGGAAGTACAAGTAACAATAAAAGAGGAATACAGTTTTTTTCCTTTTTCGCTATATAAAAAAAAAATACAAGATAAACAAATGTTGAAGACAATTCAGACATCAGCAAAAACGTGGAAGTTTTTGGAGTCAACAGCAATAAGTCTAACAGCAGCAATAGCAGCAGCGAGAGACATTAACCCAAAGAAGCAAACATTAAGCCAATGCCATAGCTTTTGAACAGGACTAAGCTTATCGTTCATAGCTACAACATACATGTGGTTTGCTAATATGAAGGTGAGAGGGAAAGTGCTTATAGCTCCCGTGAGGCTCATGAAATCTCCAAGAAACGGCAAAAGCGCTGAGAGAAGAGTGCTCACAGCGATGTAGCTACCTCTTGCTACTGTTCTAAACAACAGATTCTTCAATACTAATGGACCTCCTTTGATCCCATACTTCGTGTCCATAAACTCATACGTCGGACTTGCAAAAATCTACAAAAAAAGAAGAACAAGTTTCATATAAACAGAGCTCCAGATAATAAAAAATCTCCTATAATTTCCAAAATATTAGTGATTAATAGTAATACATATTACTTGGCTCTCAATTATTAATAAATATATATTTATTTATATATCTATATTTAGTAATTTCATATAAACAAAACGATCAAAGACTATATATGTAACGGTGAAGGAAGAAAGATTCACTTACGTGTAAAGAGATAACGGACTGGAGAAAGGCTGAGATGTTAGCTAGAGCTTTAACCCAGAGAGGTCCAGTGACGCTGTTTAAAAGATAAGTCGATGTTGAGGACCCGTAAGCCCAATAACCGATGAATGTAACGGTATACATTGGTAATACACCAGCAGTGAATTGAAAATACAGAGCCTTCATCATGTTTTTTACCACCGGTTGCTTCACTGTGGCCTAATAATTGCACAAAGATTAGTGTCAAGAACATAGTAAAAGATAAGAGGATGAAACTAGATGGGTTTTATTCATGAGGTTGACCTGTATTTCCGGGAGCATTCCCGTGTTGAATGCGAAAACAAGATTTGCTGCTGCTCCTGTTATGGTAAATATTTTGTCTATTGATGATCCTTGTATATTGTAATCTCTTGAAGGTTTGTTTACTCCTACAAAAAGGCGAAAACACACGGACAAATCGACTTATAAGTAGTTCATCTGGTTTATATAGAATCATTTTGAGATATGTAGCATCCGTTACCATCTTTAACTGATAGAACTATAGCAACAACAATGTAGATCAAGCTGAGGATTGTTGATACTCCAAGCCAGATGCCTAGAGCTGATAGATGAGGAATACCGATTGCAAAAATCGCACATACAACACCAGCAATGGCGATAAAGTGAGGCAGTTTCATGACACTGTCATCTCTAAAAAGTACATAAACAGCCTGCACACAATGCAACATGAACAATAATTAAATGAAACTAACTTAATCTCTTGCAACATGTGAAGTTGTTAGTGCCATACCTTTAAAGCGGAACCAGCAAGTATGATGTAGCCGCAATTAATCATGAAAAGATTGACATATTGCAATCCCCATGTAACACGATACATCTTTTTACCGTAGATGAAGCCGGCAAGATCTCTATAACGAATGTGTCTTTTGCCACCAAACTCATGAAGCTTGGCTATAAGAGAGTTTGCGTAAAGGGAGATCGCGGTAGCAAGAATGAGACCAACAACACCACCAATCCAGCCCAAAGGAACCATGACTGTCCCGGAATATCCCAACACATAGGCACTGTTTATACCGGTTGTTAGAACAAATGCTACCTGAAACCATGAATCTGTACAAGTTTTTCTACAGTTAAAGCTTACACACTGTAGCTATCAACTCATATACTCACTCTCAATACCAATTATGACCCTCAAGGGAATAACTAGGAAAAAGAAAACAGAGTCTACTAAAAAACTTGCCAAATTTATTGTAAAAAAATTCAACGACTATTTTCACAAGAACGTATCTTTTTTTGGTCAAACACAAGAACGTATCAACCAACAACTTTATGCCACAACAGGGCAGCATAAAAACCACCAAATCCAGCATTTCCATAATAGGGTCTTGCCAAAGTCATCAAAGATACTTTTTCAAAGTAGGCATCACCAAAATCATTGAAGAGACCATTTTCACAAGAGACACTCAAAGCGATAATGTTTACAAAGCAGTCATCATTTCTATAGCTTGATTTTAAGTTTTCAGCAGCTGAAATGTCGATAACAACATCAGGGACATACATGTGTAAAGTAAAATAAAAAAGAAGACCAAAAGTGAATAAAAAGTACTTAAGCACCAGTTTCCAGTTGAGTATACACTTTCAAAGCCAAAACAAAAGTGTTTTCTTTAAAAAAGCTTAAGATCACGCAAGAAACGACAAGTTAATTCATCATAACAACCAAAAAGAGAAACAAAACAGGACAAAAATATATAATAAAATAAAAACCCAAAGAGAAAGAGAAGATAAAAAGAGTGCGAACCGCTGCTAATCTGATGAGCAGTCTCAGGGATTTCAAGATCGAACTTTTCCACTGCAACAACTTTTCGGTTCCTAGCCTCACTCGTATCCATGGCTTCAGAAAAGAATTAATCAGTTAGTTCTTTTCTCTAGAAACCCTCCACTTTCTTCTCCAGTTCCTGTTTTAGAATTGATGTCTTTTTTTTTGACTGAAAGAGAATTGATGTCTTCCTCCTCAGAAGAAGCCTTTTTATCTGCTAGAACAAGATTCGTGACAGACAAATATATTCCATAGAAAAGTGTGAAATGGAATCGATGAGAATGAAAAGATGGTTTCTGTTTTCTTCCAAGTGTTTAATCTTTTTCAGTCAAATTTAATTGATAGGTGAAAAAGATGGATACGTTTCTCTGTATGTTAATTGTATATATAATTACTTGGCACAGGATCCTATAAGATCGGTAACTCAACGTCTAGTCAGTGTATTTTATTAAGAAATAATATTTTTTTTTGTTTT